TCCCCCATCTCCTCCCATGGCTGCCTCCTTCTCAGCCGCTGGGTCTCCGCTCAGTTGTCACCTGGTCACAGAGCTCTCTTGTGACCTCTCTCATTATTCTCTAACAGTTCTCTGTTCTCCAGATGGCCTGAGTTTAATCTCAGCAGTGCCACTTACTAGCTGTGTGACCTTGGGCAAGTTACTTAACCTCTCTGTCTCAGTTTCATCTTTAATATGGGCATGGTACCACTATCTACTTCACAGAGTTGTTATAAGGAATATATGAATTAATGCATGCTTGGCACATAGCTAGCATTTATATGACATTTATTATTACTATTCACAGCTCTTATTACAGATTTTCATTGTATGTTTCTTTGACTACCTTTTCACTGTGTCTCCCTCATTAGCTGTCAGCTCCACACAATAGCCTGGGCTCATCACAGAGTACTCAGCGCTGACACAGTCTAATCCCTGTAGAGGGAACAACTGAGGCCAGTATAACATCCCAAGGAAGCACCATTAATTCTGGGAGCAGCAGGATGGGGGTTTGAAGGGGAATGATGGCTGAGCCAGGTTTTGAAGGATGAAGATGAGTCCTCCAGACTAAGAACACCAAGACTATCTGCCCATGGCTGAGACTGGGGTTCAAATGTGGCTCCCAAACAGGCTGAAGCTAAGTGTCTGAGTCTCATCTCCTCCTCCAGGAAGCCTGCCGGGACCCCTTCAGCCCCCTCTGAGCTCCCATGGCCGCTCATTTGTTCACAAGTTTTTGTGTTCCTGCTACATGAGAGGCACATTATTTTACGTCTAAGGGTCTCCCTTCCTCCACCACACAGCAGGGTCCTTGAGGGAGCTGGGCCCCTACTTTTCACTGTCAGCACCAACCTCAAGGTGGTGCACAAACCCTTCACAAACATCCAGACCCCCAGGATGTCAAGGCTGATGGGGACCTCAGAGAACAACCAGGGAGGGGGAGCGTGTGGCCCAAGGTTACATGTCAACAATGGGGTGAAGATGAGATTCTAATCCAGAGGTGGCCAAATGGTATACACTAAGCCTCCCCACACTCTGAACTAGACCCTGACTGAGGCTGGCGCCGGGGCGCTGGGGAGCAGCACCTCCAGCTGTCCTCGGGTTCAAGGGGATCGCCACAGGGGGTCAGGAACAACGTGGAGGTCTGTGGGTGCGTGAACACATGCACAGATGCTCACGTCTGTTTCTGACCTTCAGCCACCCTGTTGGCAGCACTACCAGGGTGCAGAGCTTCTCAGGGGGAACTGGGACAAACAGCTCCATCCTCATTCCCAGAGTAAATGAAGTTCCTGGGCCCCCTTGGGAGCTGCCCAGACCAGGCTAGAACTCAAGCAGAGGTTCCCAGCCTCCCAGCCTCCCACAGGGTACCAGCCCAGGAGTGCAGGACTCAGACTGACAGCTTGCGACAGGAAGGAGCAGGGTCTCCACTGAGAGAAACAGGACAGGTGACCCTTCCAGCACCACCACACAGGCACTCAATGCTCCTCCAACCTCCCCCCACCCCACCCCAGCCTGGCAGGAGGCTCACCACCTCATTCATTCACTCACACATGCCGAGTGCTTGCTGGGTTACCCAGTGATGGGTGAAAGCAAGAACCATCCGACTCCAAAATGCTCACTGTCTGCAGTGCCATGGGATACTGACAAGGGCCCCCAAACCCTGTAAAGCAGGGCATGTGGGTTATCTGAGGCCCTCCTCAGAAAGAAAACCCGGTTTTCTTTGTCCCTAGTGAAGAGTTTGGTGGGTGGGTTTGCTTGCTTTTCATTAACAGCAGCTTTGGTAACAACCCAGAAAATGGTCTCCTCCTGTATTCCAGGGGAATTTGGAGAATTCAGGAGGAAACAAGGGGAGTCCAAGGAGATCTGCCATGCAGGCAATGATCCAAAGGTGGTGATCAAGGCCAGTTATACAGATAGAGGGAGGGGGTGCAGAAGAGATGTCTTCATTTGCCCCTGCCCCTTTTAAAAGGCTTTTCCCAAAAATGTCTTCAGAGGATGGTAGCTCTACACCCAGCATAGCACGTCTGCCAGTCTGTCCTGAACACTTCTCCATTCCCCAGATCAAAGGCTCCCGACAGGGACCGCTGAGCACTTGGGTCTGTCTGGTGCCTCAGCATCTAATCTCAGCTCCAAAGTCCCTGTTAGGAGGTTCCAGGGAAACGTTCTCTGCGAGGTCACCTTGCAGAACACCTTTCCAACAGCCCTCATTTGGTCCTGCACGTGCTCTCCCAAAGAGGTAACTGTCCCCAAGAACCCTGGCTTCAGCCTGTCACACTCACTCACACGCACACCCCTAGCCTGTATCTTCTAGCAGCTGCGTGGCCCTCAAGCCCTGAACTCTAAGAGTTAAACACTACAGAGCCACAGAGCTCAGCCGTCAGGCAGAAACCGGCACAGAACTCCATGGGGAGAGACACACACCCCCAGAATAGAATTCCAGACGCAAAGAACTTGCCGAAGATGATTCCACTCAACATAGCCAGCCCTCCTAATGGCCCCTGAGGCTTGTTTGGGGATTGTTGCTTATAATAAACCAGCCCAGGAGTTCTGTGATTTCTCCTTGCAAAGACAGCTAGAAAATGGCCCATGGAAAATGAGAGAGAAGATGTAGGACTTCTGACTTAAAATGGAAACTTCAGTTCTCTTTCGGGATCCCCAGCCTCCAGTCCCCTCCCCTCTGCCCCCAACCTGCCCCCAGCCCACCCTCCATACCCTTCGCAGGTGATTTCCGACATTCTGGATCATTGCTGCCGACACCCCGCTAGCTGTTCGCACCCTCCTCGGAGAGACAGTGGTCACCTGAGCGACAGCCCGGCTCCAGCTCCAAATGAAGCCGGTCCGCCTCTCCTCGCACTCCTCCCCGGCTCCCGCCCCTCCTGAGCCAGCCGTTATCAGTTATCACCGTGTCACAGCCTTTCCTCAGACTGCCCTCGGGCTGCCCTTCCCCTAGCGCCCCACACGGAGGCTCTGCGCCAGCCCGCCTGCCTGCCCAGTGCAGAGCACGGAGGGAGGCTGCCAGCTGGGCCACAGCCATGTCAGGGGGCCCTATGCCCACCCACTGCACACCCAGCAGGACACTCACTGCACCTCCAGCCACAGCCAAACTTCGTCACCCCCACTTCCAGCCCCTGACATCCTCCCCACAGGGACTCTGGCTCTGGGATGGCTCCCGGCCCCAGCCAGTGACACTGGCAAAACAGGCACCGGCTTTCCATCCGTCCACAAGGGGTCAGGGTGGAAGGTGACAGGAGTCTGGGGAGCTTCCAGCAGCCTCCCAGAGAGATACCAGACCCACCTGCTAGGACTCTTCACCCTTGAGGTGCCGCCCAACGCTCCAGCCCACTGGCATCCAGCAGCTGCTGGCCAGCGATGGGGCACACCCCCCTCACTTCCTTAAAATAGGTGGCGTGACTTTTCTAAAAGAGACACCTGCCAAATTCCACCCATCCGCTCCACAGAGTTCATCCCCCTGGGCTCCCACGTCAGCCCCTAAAAGACTAAAAGACCGTCAGGACTTTCCCTTCTCCCTCTCACTTGTGCAAGGCACAGGGCGAGGCAGCTTTGACATTCACATTGGATTTCTCACGACAGGGCAATAAAATCAAGTGCTTGGTGTTTAAGGAAAGAAGGAGGGGAGTGCAATGCAGGCAGGGGAGCTGGGACGGACAAGTGGATGACAAATAATAATGAGCACCTCACAATAACCCAGCAACCACTGTGTGCCAGGCCTCACCATGTCCTCATTCCAACCCCACCTGAAGGTCGCTGGGGGAGGGTAGGTGAGGGGCCCCAGGTGGCCCAGCTATTGAGTGCAGAGCTGTGCTGGAACAGAGGTCAGTCCAATTCTGAGGCCTCTGCCCTTTCCTCTGCCCCTCTAGTTCACTCACCACATCCCTAATAATGTCTCCTCTTGGGCCTAAGACAACTGGTTTCTGGGCCTGTTTCTTTCACTAATGTGCTATGTGACTTTGGGCAAGTTTTCTCCTCTCTCTGGGCCGCCCTGTTCCGGGAGTCAAGGACGATAATGTCCATCACTGTGAGCTCAGGCCTTACCTTCAAAGAGTTTATGGTCTGTCAGTACTTCAGTGTCTACAAATGCAAAATTAAAGTCACGCCTTAAAAATGGCAAGATGATCCAAGGATGCACTGAGGATTGGGGCAAGCTGGGAGGCTCTGTGGAGGAGGTAGAGCCGGACTGAAGACTGAATAGGCTGACAAGAGGGGTGAGGTGGGAGGCCTAATGGGAACAGAAAAGGATGCAGTCATAGGCAGTGAGGGCCCTCATCTTGCAGGAAAAAGCTGGGAGTCTATCGTGGAGGACCTTGAATGCCAGGCAACAGGGTTTAGGCATCAAGGAGCCTCTGAGGTTGAAGAACATGCTCAGTATGATAAAAAGCCATGTGAGGTGAAGAGGACAGGTGTCATGAGACCTTTCTGGACAGGTAAGAAAACTGGCCTAGAAAGGGGATAGCTCAACTCACTGGATCCCCAATCTCACTGGGTAAGGCATGCAGTCAGGACCATTTCAGGGTCTTCACTAGGCAGATGAGGGGATAGAAACCCAGAGAGCTTCTGGTCCCCAACCCTACCCTCTCTCCAGAGCTGTCTGGGCTCAGACTCACTGGACTCAGTCTAGTGTCCCCATCTTACAGATGAACACATCGAGACACAGGGATGAAAAGTGAGCCAACCAAAGTCATAGAGCAAGGAAGTTGTCTAGAATCCCCCTGGCCTCAAGTCTAGAGTCCTGTCCAGCCCACACCACAACAAGGCATAAAATATGAAAGACATCATTCAGTTAGACTTATGAGAAGACTTGCAGCAAGGCTGAATCAAGATATTATCAGGAACTAGATCTTTCTGCAGAGGCCCCTCCAGCCCACAAAGGTCTCCCTCCCCTTTGCTATTTAGTACAGAATTGACTCTTGTGTCTCTTTAGCAGTTCTGTTAGGTCTGTTACTCCAATGAATATTTCCAAGGGTGTCTGTCTCCCCTTTCCAACTCACTTGGGAGCCCCCTGATGGCTGACGTCACATCTTACTCATCTCTGTGCCTGTACCACGAGCCCCCAGACCAGGGCCCTAAATGCAGAAGGCATGAAACACGCCTGATGAATCATAGGCCTGGAAAGGCGAATCCAGAAGAGGTCTTAAGTGATAGCTAGTCAATGGTTCTCCAACTTCAGCCTGCATCAGAATCACCCAGAGGGCTTTTTTTTTTTTTGGCCGCCCCCTGAGGCATGTGGGATCCTACTTCCCTGACCAGGCATTAAACCAGCACCCCCTGCGGTGGAAGCACAGAGTCGTAACCACTGGACTGACTGGGAAGTCCCCAGAGGACTTATTAAAATACAGATTTCTTGGGCTTCCCTGGTGGCGCAGTGGTTGGGAGTCCACCTGCCGATGCAGGGGACACGGGTTCGTACCCCGGTCCAGGAAGATCCCACGTGCTGCGGAGCGGCTGGGCCCGTGAGCCATGGCCGCTGAGCCTGCGCGTCCAGAACCTGTGCTCCACAACGGGAGAGGCCACAATGGTGAGAGGCCCGTGTACCGCAAAAATAAATAAATAAAAAATAAAATACAGATTTCTAGGACCTACCTCCAGCAGAGCTGCAGCAGAGCCCAAGAATTTGCAACAAGATCCCAAGTGATACTGATGCTGCTGGTCCGGGGACCACACTTTGAGAACCAGTGAGCTAGGTCAGTCCTCCCATTTTAAGCTGGGGAAAATGAGGCCCAGAGGTTTTAGAGGCAGCAGTTGACAGTATATCACTATACTGTATATCACTATCATCGTCATCATAATCACTGTCATCCCCATCATCATCATTTTAGCCCTTCTTACCTGCCCAGTCACGTTTGTTACCATCTCTGGGCCTCACTCTAAGACAACAGTATTATGATTAATATTCTCCTGCAAAGGAAAGAACAGAGGCAGAGTCATCTGTCCAAAGTCACACAATTGATAATAGTTAGCACCACAACTTGCACTCTGATCTAGGTCCAGAGCCCAGAAGCTTAACCACCACTCTACATAACCTGCTTACAGCTTATGCTGACCGAGGAATTATCTAGAGGTTCTCAAATCCAGCAGGCTCATTTCCGGTGAGGGATGAGGTTGTGGTGCCCTCAGCCCAAAGGCCTGGTTCTCGAGTGGTTCATGACTGGTGGAAGATTGCCTCTTAAGCCCCATGAACCCAGAGTATTTTCTCCCTCAAACACTTCTTTTCCCACATTACATCCTTCATCTGGCCCCACTGATGGGGCCTTCCTGGCTGGAGGACAAATATCTGCAATAATTCTTCAGGTCCATGTCCCAGCTCTACCTCCCACTCAGTGACAAAACACAGTAAAACAATCTCCATTCCTACAATGATACTGGGTTGTCACTGTCAAGTGTGGGTCTGCTCCCCCATCAGACTGGGAGCTCACAGGGGCAGAGACCTCATCTGAGTCCTCAGCACAGGATCTGCCCAGACCAAGGGTTTAGTGACTAAGTGATGAATGAATGAATGAATGGATGATTGGGTATAGGGGCAAATGAGGGAATAAATGAGTGAAAAAATGACCCAACTCCCAGGAATTCCCTCTGCTGGACCTTCTAGCCTTCCCAGATAGGACCACAGACTCTCTAGGTGGGAGGGGACCTCTGACATCATCCACTCCAACTCCCACTTTCAGCACTGTCCTAGCCGAACCCCTCCAGGGGCCAGAACCTGCAGCTCTCCCATCTCCACACACATGCCTCGTGTCCCAGCTTCCATTTACACACCTCTAAGATTGAAGAACTCACTCCATCTAAGGTTGCCTGTACGATTAAAGAGTTCTAATATCCACAAGGATGTTACCATTATCCTTAGCCATGAGGATAAGGCCATTACCTCATGACCAAGGCTCTGTGTCACCCAGAACAAGGCTGCTCCCCTAGCCTGTGACAGCTGGCAGAGACCTGGGAGCACATAGCCTGTCCTCTACTGGTCCTAGTCTCCCTGTCCAGACTTCTTTTTTTTTTTTTCATCTTTAAAATTTTTTTTTAAATTTTTGGCTGCACCACACAGCATGTGGGATCTTAGCTCCGTGACCAGGGATTGAACTCGAGTCCCCTGCAGTGGAAGCATGGAGTCTGAACCACTGAATCGCCAGGGAAGTCCCAGACTTATTTCTTCTAATCCTCTCAAGTCATGAACAAAGCTTCCCACTGTTCCCTCACACATCTGGATTTTCCCTTACTCCTGCTATTCCATCTACCCTGATGCCCTCTAATAACTCAACATCCAAACCCTCCCCCCAGTCAAGGCCCGGCTCAGATGGCATCACCTCCAGGAAGTCTTCTGGGCTCCTCCTAAGTGGAAATTACATCCTCCTCCTCTGTATCTTCACTCCCCATACATAAACACACAGCTGCAGTTCACAGCTCTTTATTTCTCTCTCACATTGCTTTTCCCCTTAAATTGGAATGACTTGTGCTCATTTCTCCTTCTTGACCTTGATCAAGCAGGTAGAAGGGATGGTGTTGGTTCCTCAGAGCATCCTGCCCCTCTCCCATCGAACACTCAGTTACTGGAACACAGTAGATGCTCAGTAAGCGTCTAGAGAATGAGGGAGTGAGTAATGGAATGGGAAAGAACAAGGGAATGTGTGAGTGAATGGAAGTAAATCCATGTGTAAATGAATGATCAAATGAGTGAATGAAAGAATGTCATCATGCTCTCCTGTTCTCCAAGCTAAGACTCTCAGTTCCTTCTGGG